CGGATGTTGAACATCCGAATTTACGAGATTTTCGGATGTTCAACATCCGAAAACGGATAAGACGAAGGTTTACTTAACTATCAGGGAAATTTCGGATGTTGAAAATCCGAAAATCTCTTAAATTCGGATGTTCAACATCCGAAAATGTTATACTTAGCGTTAAACTATCAGGGTATTTTCGGATGTTGAACATCCAAAAATCCCTTAATTTCGGATGTTCAACATCCGAAATTAGGAAATTTAACATTTAGCTTTCGGCTTATTTTCGGATGTTGAACATCCAAAAATCCCTTAATTTCAAATGTTCAACATCCAAAAATAAGAAATTTAACATTTAGCTTTCGGCTTATTTTCGGATTTTAAAAAATTTGAGTTATAAAAGGTAAAAAATGGACATACGTGTAATAACATAAATTATTTGGTATATCCGTAATGACGCTAAGTATAACAGATTTTTATGTAATTTTTCCAAAATATTAAGAAAGCTTATAAAAAAGAAAAAAAAATTAAAGGACACGGTTTCTATGCAGCCAGCCCGTATATTGTACAAATGAGGGCTTGGCAATAAATATATTTTTAAAATATAATTTGATCCTAATTTTTAAAGACTATATAGTAACATGGAGATTATGAATATGAAAAAAAAAAAAACCAAAAATAATAATTGTATTAAAAATACATTTGGACTTTTAGTTATAATTATTTTAAGATAGACCACCTATTTGCATCTATTTTTAAAATAGATGCTTTATACCTCTGAACCGCATATTGTAGAAATGCAGCCACTTGCATAAAACAATTTTCTAAAATTGAAAAAATAGATGCTTTATACCTCTGGACCGCATATTGTAGAAATGCAGTCACTTGCATAAAACAATTTTCCAAAATTGAAAGGGGGCTTTTAGGGAGGAAATGGGACTGAGACCCAATCTATTCTAGAGCCAGTACAGTCCTGTTTTCCCTCCAAAACACTGAGGAGAAAGGATGCTGACCACTGATCTTGCTAAGTTCTCTTTAACATTCTACATAGAAAATGATTTTGGAAACTCACCAGCCCATGGACATGATCGAACCAATGATTCATAGGATCTAGAAATGAATGGCACTTTCCCTTTCTTAGAAAAGAGATTTAGAAATTTGGACTTTGAATTTTCATGCATGTGCGCTTCATTTAGGTCTTGCTAGAGTTTTAAAACCTAGCAAGTTGTATCGAGAATTGTCTATCCAAACAAAAAATCAGGTAGAGATCAAACCGGTTATATGAAGGTATCGGCCTTGGCCTAATCCTTCATAAATCTCCCTACGCATTTCACCTCTGCTTTTCTTTCTTTTTTCTTTTTTCTTTTTTTTTAAAAAAAAAAGTCTTTCTAGTATTTTCTTAGGTACCCCTAGATCCCATAAAGGCTTGTTTTAATATTATGTTATTTTATTTTTTAATATTTTCCAGATCACTGATTCAGACCGATCCGGATCGCCAGTCCAATGGTCTAAAATAGATATGTGAGGTGCATGATCCACCCAATCAGTCCATATTTTAAAACACTAAGTGTAGCAAATAGAAGAAAAAAAAATAAGCAAGCAAAAAAAGATAGACTTAGAAAAAGGTCGGGAAAAGTATATTTGTAGTTCTCGAGCATCCAGATTCCTTGAGCAATTCCACTTAATTTATGGATGTGCTCTTTAGCTTATATAATATTTATCCTTAATATAGTGTTTTTCTCGCGAGAACTAGACTAATGATGAAC